ATAGTGTTCGAACTGCACTTGGGTTAAAAACAGGTAGTGGTCGAACTGTTAAACTCTGTTTATGAATGAGTGCAGTTCAACCGCTACCTGATTTTTACCCAAGTGCAGTTCAACCATTACCTTTTTTCAATCCAAGTGCAATTTGACCATTTCTTTGTAGGTAATAAGTGCAATTCGACTATCCCGAATATATCTTATCAAGAGGTCTACCTTAAATTTGTAAGGTATCTTTTTGTTTGAAGACTGGCATTATTTATCACTCTRATGAACGCGTAATTAATAATGTGTAATTAAAATAACTATTAATTCCATACAAGTCATTAGATATGTTCATGATCCGATTTTTTTCCAAACGATTGAACTGTAATAAGTGTTTTTTTTTTTTATCATTTGTTTTAGGTTATGACTCGTTACATATCAAATCCTGACAATTTAAAATTGATGATGAATATGTTAAAAGAAAAATCTAGAAATATCCAATTTGAAGCTTTTCATGTTTTTAAGGTATAATTTTTAATTTTTAAATATTTGCAATATAATGTTATGTTATTTTTTTTTTCTTTAGGTATTTGTTGCTAATCCTAATAAACCCAAGCCTATTCTCGACATTTTGCTTCGTAACCAAGACAAGTTGGTTGAATTCTTGACAAGATTTCATACTGAACGATCTGAAGATGAGCAGTTCAATGATGAAAAGGCGTATCTGATCAAACAAATTAAAGAGCTCAAACCCACGACTAGTGATCAATGATTTAGGGTATATGCAACTCGAAACTATGACTATTCGGGTTGTTGATAGTTATATTACTTGTCATGATTTTATTTTWAGTTAGATTATATTTAGGGGTAATAACACATTTATATAATTTGGTTTTTGCTGGGGCATTTAAAATTTTTACTCGTAACAAAATAATAAACATTATTTATTTATTTTTTGTTTTACAAATGCCTCAATGTTAAAGAAATGTAATTATACTTGTTTGCATAATAGGAATTATAACACCTGAAAGTGGAATGTAGGTGCAATCTTATTGTATTCATTTTTTATGTTTTTTTAATTTCTATTAGTAAACACACATACATATTATGTACATATTATATACATAATATATATGTGTATGAGTATAATTTTGTCAAGTGTTTATATGGATAATCAACGTAATCATTAAGAAGAAAAATAAGTTTTTATATTAGAGTAATGTTGTATTTAACATTTTTAAATTGTTTATACATTGTATTTGATAGAAAAACAATCCTTATAATTATAAACAATCTGTTTATAATTAGATATTTAACTAATTATATTTATATACTGTATGAAAGGACTTCTAAAAAAAMATTAATGTTTGTTACCTATGCATTAAAAAAATACATTAAACGAGGTTCGCCGTTCACTATTAAATTTTATTTTTTAAATTAAAATCTTAGGAAATTTACCCAACAAATTATTTGATTGTTTGTCCTTTTAATAATTGTTGGTTTACTAATTATTAATATTGCTACAAGAGTATCACGAAAGCATTATTAAATCGTTTTCAAAATATTTTTAATATTAATAATTTTATTATGTGATATTTTTKTATTGCAACAGTCAATATAATATTAAACATTATAATACTTGAATTATACAAGGTTTATTCAATAAATACCCCGAATAATAGTATTAAAAATTATATTTCAAWCATACAAACTATTTAATTGAATCACAATCGAAATAGTGTCTTTTAGCTTCAATGCAATTTTTCCAACAGTCTTCCAATTTTTTAAACCCCCTTTAAATATCCTCCACGCTTATAATCTTTAGCTCTTCTGTCATGATTAGACAATGTAAATGTTGGGACTTCTATCGGAACGATTGAACTTAAGTTTCAGTATTATATCCATACGTATACCAAGTTTCAACTCCCATAATAATTGATTTTATAAAACTTATTTCATTAGAAGCCTAATTTTTATTTTGAAATTCGCTACAGTGCAACATTCCATTTGTTCCTCAGTTAAAAATGTTGGCATTAATTTTGGTTATGTTGTAGACACTCTTCATCCTCAATTGATGAAATTGAATAACAAATACCAATTGATATGACATCGTCATTGGCTACTTCTCCTGATATTTCTAATTTTATTTCAAACAAAATTAATAATATCATTTGTTTTTGATGTTAATAGATGCTGAGTCACGATCATATTCTGTGGATATCAAACCTCTTTTAAATGCTTGAACCAGTCAATAGTTACATAATRTCATRGATTTTATAATTTACAGATAAGCCATTCTATTGTTAATAGTCTCAGTGGCCGAATGCAATTAGCCGCTGCCCTTATTAACAATAGAATGGTTTATCTSTATATTATAAAATCATAATAACAGCTTAGTGAAACATCTCTAAAAGCTAATTTTAAAACAAAATGTACTAAATGTGCATTGCTTCATAATATTAACAATCCTGATTTTATACAAAACAACAAACTTTGATTGCACATTGTCAATGACTAATTGGAGATATAATGATAATTATTATATCATACTGAAATAATAGTCATTATCTCTAGTTTATTTTAGTCTAACATTACCTATTAAATTAAAAGTTTTAGTCTGGATATTTATCGAACATGCCTCATAAAAAGTCTTTTATACAACAATAACATAATTAATATTAAATAGTTCAAAATACGGTAGAATATTACGATTTATGATTTCATGCTTTTTAAAAAAAAAAAATTTAGAGACAGTTAACTGGTTGATTGTAACTAACCGTTACTTATTTACTTATGCCTTTTTTTATTAATATAGTATTATAAAAACTATGTTTTATTATTCAATCCAAAAAATTACATCACTCCCAATTGTTTATATGAATGTATACAATATGTTTGTATGACCCAACTATATCAATTGAAGTAATTTAATTTCGGTCTATCCAAAATAGAAATTGGCTAAAGGTATTTTTTAAACATAAATGCCTTAGGTTTTGAATTTGAATTTTTAGTAACATTAAAATAATTTGACTAGTATTGTAATTATTATTCAAAATTATTTTGAAACCTATTTATCATAAAAATYAAAATATTACTGAAGAATTATATTACATTATTTATTATGAAAAGTTACTATTTCTTAATTTCTTCAATCGAAATGAGAACAATTTGTATGGTATTTTAGGTAGATCTAGGTATTTAAATAGTATTGTAATATACAGTTCCCACCCATTTCCCTCTCACAATTAAGTTTTCCTRGTATAGGTAAACCACCTCTTGTTGAAGATAGAATGATATTTTTTCAAAAAGATATTCTCTTGTACACCTAATACAGTAATACCTATYTACCAACGTTTTTTAAAATAATAATTTTTTTTTCTTAATGAAAAATCGCTTACTCAAATGACTAATCTAATATAATACTATAATTTATTATTTTGACATAATTTATTTAACTTACTATATTGTTATAACTAGGGCTCGGATTTTGATGCATTTGCATCTTTTTTTTGAAATGTCTTACACTATGCTTTCCAAGCTACAAATATGTTTCAAGTACTCCGTGCCATAACCACAAACACTTTTTTAGGACATTTTTGACCTATTTCTCGTAATATGACTTAAATAATTGACCTCATTTCAATATAAGTACTACATAGTACTATTATAGTACTATGTATTATAAATTATTTTCATTTTTAACTTATCCAATTAGCCGATTTTACTAGAAATTTATTTTAAATTGATTATTTATACATTTTTTGTACAATTTAATTGCTTACTAATTATTTAATAATAATTTGAATTTATTTAATAATGCATATTTAATTTTTTARTTTTTTTTATATTCTTATGGCATTTAAATCCGAACACTAAACCCTAGTTATATCTCATTAGTTACCCAAATAATTATAGTTCTATAATATAGCCTATAAATACCTATCTACTTACTATGTTACTAATAAAATCATAAATATTAATATCTACTACAATACATAGAGATATCTACCTATATCTGAATAAGTCAAGTTACGAAAACAACTACCCATCAACCCATCTTATAAATACAATAATATAATATCCTATATACAAAAATCTACCTATGATTTTTTGATTTTTTTKACTATAATTTTTATGATTCACATACCTACTTTACAAAATAAAAAAACACTGACACGTTTTATTTTTTATTTCAACTTATGATTTATAACTATAGTTCTAACCTATCATTAAAAAGACGCTACACCTGCATATGTTGTCTCCGTCTTACAAGTGCGTAACATAGCAACTTTTATGCTCAGCAGATCACGTTTAGCTCCGTTAGTTTAAAATTTAGAGTAAATTGACCTCTTACAAAAATTAAAGGTAACATTATTATTGAGGTCATCTCTTAGGCTTTTTATTATATTTTAATTTTAAAATGAGTTATGTGTATTTTAAAATTGTAAGTTGTTTGTATATCTTAAAATACACATAACTCACTTTAAAATTAAAATATAATAAAAAGCCTTCGAGATGCCCTCGATAATAATGTTACCTTTAATTTTAGTAAGAGGTCAATTTACTCTAAATTTTATACTAACGGAGCTATACGTGATCTGCTGAGCATACAATTTGCTATGTTATGCGTTTGTAAGACGAAGACAACGTATGCGGGTGTAGCGTCCTCTTAAATTTTTGTAAAACGGGAGCCGAATGGGATWTAGCATATAGCCGTTATTATTTATGTAAACATTACACAAAAAAATGTACTTAACCATACGCATATCGTAATTAATCTTAAATAGGTAAACAATAATAATAATGATATAAGAAGTGATGGAGGGGGCAGGTACTTATTATACTACCACCGTAATAATGGTCAGCAATTTCCCATTCAAATTGAAACACGTACATATAATTGTTAGGCTGAAATTAAATATGAATTAGTATACATTTTTACGTGTGCATTTGCATAGTAGGTACCACTATAGGTACACAAGTACCTACGCATGATTGCATGAATGTGATACTGAATGCTGATGCCTGATATCGTTATTCGCCATTCGGTATCCTACTACCCTATATTGTGTTTAGCTAATCAAATTAATCGTTAATAACCAATAACGAAGATAAACTGATTTACGTAAACGGATTCCTATTTCCTAATTGCCATTGCCATATTGGATACTATACTACGGTTTATAACACATGRAAATAGAAACACGAAAATAATATCTTAATAATAATTATWATTATAATATCAGTCAGGCGCAGAATTCTACGTACCGGTACATTAAGGTAGGTAAGTGTTCTTGTTTCAAATCTTATTATTATTATTAGTTATGAGTGTTATATTGTTCTTACACATATTTTGAGGGGGGGATTAACGAATATATAGGTACCTCTTGCCAGTAACAWCTAGACCATTAGTCCATGACATTAGTTTGTGACGATAATTCAAAAACAAATAACCATAGATACATTAGATTTTCACATAATATTTAGTTTATAATTTTCTACTCTTGATAATATTTAGATTCCGTTTGAGTAATTTATAGGCATTTGAAATTTTGATTTTTTCCTATAAATATCGATAAAAATATTCTCTCGGAATTTAAAAAATTGAAAATGTAATACATACCAGGTATTGAACCCATTTTTTTGTGTCGGTCGTTGTAGAAACTTGAATCTAATTCGGCAAAGTTACCTACTTTAGGATAAAAGTTTAAAAAAATTCCAATTTTCTCAAACAAAAAAAAAAAAAATAAGGAAAAAATATTTTTGACAAAAATTTTTGTTTTTTATAGGTGAAACTCGGTTTCATTTTCAATTTATTTATTTATTTTAAGTAATTCATATTAACCTATAATCAATATTAATTACGTATTATTAATTTTAATAAAACATTTTAACCATTCATAGGTTTAAAAATTAAAATTATTATAATACTTAATACTTATAACAACAATATGACGACATTTTTTAAATGAACGCATAATATTTGTTATATATGAATATAATATAATATATTATATTTATTATTATTCATTATTGTATCAATAAAAAATAATAAGCCGTTTGGAAGGTTTAAATGAGAATGTTAAGTAGTTATACACTTATACTTATATTATAGTTATATAGAGTAGGTACCTACGCATTATTTATTTCTGCTCAACGTTCGTAGGTGTTATAAATAAAATAAATTGGAATACAACATTCCTGTAATACCTATCGTATTAGGTAGATAGGTAGTTATTTGTTTTATTAAATAATATTATATATTATAATCACTCTGCCTTCAACTTTTATTGCCGATTAAACCGCGGCTTTAATGGAATTCAAAAAGTGACGTCCATCTTACGAAAAAATCGGTAAATTTCAAATAGCCAAACTACCTTGCAGTCAGCTAATACCTATCATACTGCSATTACAAATTTCAATAAGAAATATTCGAAATCGTTTTTCAAWTTTTGCTTTATATCGCTTATCAATAAAAATTATCTTTTATCAGTCAACACACGACACCGTCAACGTACGACGACGACGCGTTGCGGTTCCGTTATCAATTRGCATTTGTATCCCTTCTACTTTCTCAGTCATGCCCTCTCACTCACTAGTCACTAGTCATTCTYTTTACCAAATGTACTATCTTTCTATCACCCGCTTCGTTCATCGTCCGTCCGTTTCTTGCACTTTTTTGTAATGTTTACGGTCGTCGTTATCTTCCCCTCAAAACTAACGACGTACCATCTCATCCGTCGGCCGCTTACACGCATGAAATGACAACTCGACGTCACTGCTGTCGTTGTTGTTCTCATTGTTTTTATTACTTTTATTAGAGCTCCTGTTTGTCACCGGTCTGAGTCCAACGAATTGAAATCGTCCGGCGAGTCATCTAACAAATAGCCATGCTGTCAAAGAAATGCATCAAGTACGTTTGCTGGACACTGCTGTTCGCGTTTGTGTTCCTTGGACTGCCAAAACTTTGCTTGAGTCACGGACACCACCACCACCACCATGATCACGATCACGACCACCATACACCCAAGTCTGTGCCCGCTCCGACCGTCGATTCAATGCTGTGGATCAAAGCTTTGTCGTCCACCGTGGCCATTAGCGTGCTGCCGTTTTTCGTGTTGTTCTTCATACCTATCAGTAACAAGGATGAACACAAGTCGTTTCTAAAGGTGCTCTTGAGTTTTGCGTCTGGTGGATTATTGGGCGACGCATTCCTACACTTAATTCCACATTCATTGTCCACACACCACCACCATGGCCATGAAGATCATCACCACAGTAGTGATGAGTACTCCCATGATCACGGTCAACATTGTAGTGCTGATTTACATAGTTCGGAAGATGGCCATGACCATGGCAATGAGATAAGAGTGGGATTGTGGATCCTAGCCGGCATATTGGTGTTCTTGTTTGTTGAGAAAATGGTTAGAGTGATAAAAGGTGGCCATAGCCATTCACATTCGTCTGTACGTCCCAAAGAAAAATTRAGTGATGATGAAGATGAAGACGATGATACTACCAAAAATGTTAAACTCCCAAGTAAGTTTAACATTTCTTTATTAAAAAGTCAATTTCACTAAGTACATTATTAAACTGCTATGGACTAGTGTCCCGCATTGTATAGTTCACGGTCAACTAAGTATCAGCCACACTAAGCTAGGGTAGGATGCGACCAACTCTGTAATGGTAGGAGAGAAAGCATTTCTGGAAATCATTAACATTAGGAACATAATAAAATCATGTGAGCAGACGACTATAAAAAATTTCTCATTAAGGGTGCACAGGACGTAGTTTTATGCATCATTACAAAAGTTCTAAGAACCAAGTGTTCACATGTAATATAATAATATATTATATTCTTAATGTTAATTATAATATCAATCATCGAGGTCTGCAGCTGCACGGGATGCACATTTGGCTTCTATGTGGGCGCATAACATTTCCCATCAGTCTAGATAATTATACCACATCCGTGAGAACAGCGATAAAAGCAAGTAGACTATGGGGAGTAGAGGGTAGCACTATATAAGGGACCTCGAAACGGCCTGTATTCAGACGCGACTTGACCAGACTAGCCAGAGCACCTTCACGCCAGTCTGTTCTTTAATTTAATTTATTGGACTTAGAAAAATTCTTATAAATAATATTTTGAACTTAGAAAATATTCGAGTCAAACCGAATTTATTCTAGTCATTCAGAAAACTTAAATATTTAAATAAATTCAGCTTTCATGTTTTAAATAAATATATATGTTTTGTCAAAATAAATAATCAAATAATCTAACTAAGAAGAATTTCACATTGTTTAATTAACTCAAGAGTCACCTTCCAACATCATCCTTGACTACTGATACCTGTATGCGACGTGATCACTATAAAACCATTAAAGTTTTAAACCTTAAATACATGTAGAGATGTTATTTTAATGCCAAAAAATCAGACTGAGCTTTGAATACAAAATAGTTTAAGTAGATTTAATACTTATCTTAGGACCTAGAGTCAGATAGAGCATTATTTCTACAGTTTTAATTATATAAGTTATTAGTACCTAATACCTATATAAAATTTAGTGGTGTGTTAAGAATTATTTTCACTATGAGCCAATTACATTTTTTTAAGGGATCATGAAGTGCTATTGTGTTTTAATTGAAAATTTGAACATAAAACTGCGTTGTGGGCCATGGCCTACCTTACTAAATATTTAACAAACAAATCAAAATTTAAACTATTATACATAAGTGTTATTCCCTAATACATTTCAAACAAAAATAGATTTATTAAATGATTATCAAAGCAGTTATATAAAGCGAGTAAGTGGATGACTTTTCTATACAGTAGATAACATGTAAGTTACTGTAATGGATGGTTTTACATTTGAATTTAATGATATAATATCATTGTATACGAAAAACAATTCTAAGCGAGCTTGACGGCATAGAATATTTATATTGTTATTATATACATAAACATATTAGTATAGATGTTACTTAATATTGATTAATATATTACATTAATATCAATATATCATTACCTATATATTTTATCTAATCTAATTTCAATTAAAATATACTTAAAAACTAATTAGTACATACAAAATTATAATAATTAACACAAATAAATAAATTCGATAGACATACAGATATATAAAAGCAACTTCAGTTGTTTAGATTTTTTGTATTTTTAAATATAATATTTTATTTCATTTTAATTTTAAATACAAATTAAATTAAACTATATCTTAATAATATACTACTTATTTTGTTTGGCAATTAGGTTTTAAAAATAAAAACAAATATAGATATTAAAATTATATTAAATATTGTAGGTACATGTATTTAAATAAAATTATTATATTTTTATAGTGCCAAAACAAAGTTTATCAGTAGCTGGGTGGTTAAATGTAGTTGCTGATTTTACACACAACTTTACCGACGGACTTGCCATTGGTGCTGCATATTTAGCCGGTCAAAATATTGGTATAGTCACAACATTAACAGTATTACTTCATGAAGTCCCACACGAAATTGGAGATTATGCAATTTTAATTCAAGAAGGCAGTTCTAAGGCAAATGTGAGTAAATGTATTCTAAAATTGGTTAACAGTTTATAATCGAAAATAAATTATACTTGTATACTTACAACTTAAAGTGTATTAGGTATTAATTTGTTTTGTACATTAAAATACGTACTTAATCAAATAATATTTTGATAGTTTTTTATAATTTACCTATCAAATTATTATTAGGTCTATAATATAAACAAAAATGTTAAATTAAACATTTCAAGTCTTAATTTACTTAACTTAATTAGTTCAATGAATTAATCATATTATACAATAAACATCATAGCATATTGATTTAAATTTTTAACCATTCAAAATATCTTATTTAGTTTTTGTTATTTAAAAATAAATAATAATTTATTAAAAGAAAATTGTATTTGACTTCTCACAAAAATAAATTGTATTACATCTGTACAATGGAACCAATGTAGTGTGTTGTTAGCTTTAATATTAGAGCGAAATTAACTATTGTTATACTTAAAGGTAAGTAGATAAGGTAAAATATTCTCTAGCGTACCTCATCAGCTTTTATTGATATTTTAATTTTAAAACTTTTTATAACTTTATAAAATATTATAATTTTCAAGTGTGATTAAACTTTAAAATATTACAGTTTTAAAATGTTTATAACTTATATCACAATTCAAATATTAATAAATACCTTTTGGGGAACCTAGATTCCTTACCTTTAAATTTGATACTAGGTTAATTTACTTTAATATTAAAGCTAACAGCATGTAATTTGTTATTCTGAATATTAACTTCCTATACCATAATTTTGAAAAACTGAAATAGCACATACAGGCTAGGTGTCCTTTTAAGTATTTATGTTAGGGACTGGAGCATAATATTTATGCATTTCATATAGCATTTATATTTTAGCTGTGTGACTATGTGATATGTAAACAAATGTTAGTGTGTGTAATTCATAAAAGTTGTTATTGCTTCTTGTGTCACCAGACACCAACAGCTCATCACCTGCATATAAATTTCTGCACACAAAATTCCAATATGTCTAATGACATCAGGTTTTATCAAATTTTCAAATGACATAAATACCAAAACGCTAGGTAAAGTGAGGATTTGGATTAATTTAAATATTCATTGTTAGTTAGGTAACTACCTAATGGCCGAGAGAATTTTATATATTCTAATCCTTCATTACAATATTGACAATTTAAAAAATAAGAATTTTGGCATTTTTTTATATTAACACCATTAATATTTAAAATTATGGTAAATTTTCACGGCCATACCTTAGAAAATTTGTTGAAGATTTTTAATTAGTTTTCAAAATTAAAATCCATCAAACCCAAGTCGAACAGTTTTGTCTAGCTTTGGCCTGTTTATGTGATTTACCTAAAACTGATAATGAGTTAGAATCATTCATTTTTATCTCATAGTTTAATTTGATTTTTTTTTTCTTCAATTATAGGCTATGAAATGTCAGTTATTAACTGCAATAGGAGCTATATGTGGAACATTAGTGTCATTGACGTTTGGAAAAGAAAGTAAGTTTATACAACTTTTTATTACTTGAATTTTTTTTTTAATACAAGTGAATATAATGTTTGAAGTAAATAAAATATTTTTATTTTAACTTGTAAACCGTGTATAATTTTTAAAACTATAGGTTTGCTGATTTAGCCATGATGATTTATGAATATTTTTTTTTATAAATTAATATACTATATAATTTAGGTTTTTGTTTCTATTGTATTAGCCTCTAGGAATATACCATGTAATATTGTATATTTAATTAATATTATGTGCTATTTCGTAAAAGCTATGTGGCACTTCAATTTAAAAATAAATAAATTATTATAATATGTAAATTATTAAATAACTTCATGACTAGTTGATAATTATAAATTAAAATAACTAGTATGTTATGGTATCTATCTATACATTTATAAACCTCATATATGGACTGTTTTATAATAAATTGTTGTTACATATTTAAAAACAATTATTAATATTTTATAAACTATTTTTAATCAATTAATAGTATCTTTTAATTATTCCATCATAAATTCACCTAAAATATTACGGTTTTGTATATTTTATAAAAACCATTGGTAATAAATACTAATTCAATCACAGAATTAAGATTTAAAATAAAAATAAACATCATGTTACTTGATGAAACTATTAGATTTGGTATACTTTATTTACTTTTATGTGGTTTGAATAACTTATACTTGCTTGAACATTATAAAAAACAACATAAACATAATTTTATGATGATGTTAATTTTTTCAGGTGAAGTTGCAAATTCATGGGTACTACCATTTACAGCCGGTGGTTTCATTTATATTGCAACTGTGAATGTAATACCAAGTCTTTTAGAAGACTCTAGTTTCAAACAATCCATTAAAGAGATTTTAGCTTTATTAGTGGGAGTTTACTTAATGGTTCTTGTTGCTAAATATGAATAAATCAACAGTTTAGTATAGTTTATTTGACTGAAGTCACATCCATACGTCATGTTGGAACATATTTATTTTATTTAACAAGAATACAATTGTTTTAAGTTAAATTTTAGCAATTTGTTTAAAACTACATTTAATAAAAGAAATCAATACCTATAAAATTGTATAAGGTATATTGGTATTTTAATCAGATTTCTATTTAGATTGTTTTAATACCAATGAACTGATATGTGATAATATTTTTTGTATGTATTCCATTATTTTACTGTAATTTCGAAATAATGCTTAATTTTACTAAACAATAAAATATTTATCTACATAGTTATTTTTAAAAAATAATACTCAAATTGATTTTTCTTAATTCTATATTTTTAAAAATCTCTCCTAGATATTGATTGCAGTATTAAATAGTATCACATATTTAAAAAAAAAAACTCTACTTACTCTATAATTATAAATTGCACAATAACAATGACCAGCAAATATATTAAATGTATTAATAATATACTTGGTTTAAACAAATAAACAAGTTTAAGCTGACTAATATTCATATTTCAAAGTTGTTAAGGATGTTTACAAATGAGCCATTTTTATAATAATGTATCTATTGTGCCTTTTTTATTGATTACTGTTTTCATATGTCATATATAAAAAATTAAGACTACCTATGTTTTCTAAATTATTTATGCAGGTATTGTTACAAATGAGTGTTCTTATATGTTTGAAAATAAAATATCAAAATTGTATGATCATTACAATGTATTATGTTATTGAAACACTTATGTATTACTTGCATAATTATTGTAATTTTGTTACTAAATTAAAACACATATTTTATGAATTTTGTTTTAAATTATTATGTATGTCTATATTATTCGACCCACGAGAGAACATTATTGTTCTACATATGTAGAGTAGACTTACAGCATTCTTCCTCTTTATTCCATTCAGTATATTTCAATTTTTTAAGACGTGTGAACTTGTATGCTTTTGATTATAACACAGTATCTCTCTTGAGCTGGTGTATAGCAGTGTTATTATTTGTGTTCGATTTTGTGTCATTTTTCTTATTACACGTATTTAATATAGCACACAAACAAACATAAAACTCAACAATCTTTACCAATAATATAAGTAATATTACATAGTATATTTTTTAGCTAGGTGTATAGTAAGCTGATGCTTGTTTCATTTCTAAATAATATATGTATATATAATTACATTTATATGTTAAAAATTATTAAATACTATGTGGTCTGTGATTATTTTTGGAATCATTAAGTTATTAAGTTCATAACTAAGTATTAAATTTAACACAATATCATAGGTAAAAAATAGTATTTTGAATCTGATGATGTTATGCTTGTTATACTGAAACAGCTAGTTTAATTATATGTTTGTATTGAGTCCTTTACAGCATTAAAATTGCTTGATTTTATACAATCTCTATAAAAAAAAATTCTTGAATTTTTAAATCATTAATGATATGTCAGTACAGTGTTCATGAAAAATATTATCATTTAATGACATTTTACAATGATCTTGATTCCGAATTTAGAAAGAGATACTTACATAGTGCATTAACAAAACATACTGAAGAACAAATAATATATATATTCGGAATCAAATAGGTAAGTTAAGATAGATAAGTATTATGTACTATCATTTTATTAATATATTTATAAAAATTTTAAATCTTACATTTAGATTTTTGATTGCCAAAATAGTTATTGTACCATGTGATAACTATAACTTTTAGATTTTTATTAATTWAAAAAATTATTCCAGTGAGTTTAGTATACAATAATAACTAACATGAATAATATATTATGATACCCTTAACATACACTGCTGTGTGTAAATTAGTAGAAGTATATATAATATTGGTATTTTATAAAATGTCTAGGAACTYTATATAACAATAACTACAGACGGAAATCTATAAAATTGTTTAAATTATCTAAGTATTATAGGAAATGCCAAATAATGTATAGGTAATGTATTAAATCCATGTTATCAGTATTGATATTTGACAATTTACCTTCACCTTAATATTATATCAATAAGTTCCATGACCTTGTATGTCAGAAACACTTTAAGATAAAAAAAAATAAAAAATAAAAACCTTCACCTTAATATAAATCCATTAGTAATCTGTAATATCGATAAGTTTAATGATGAAAATATTACTACTATCAACAAAGATATTTGAATAGTTGATAATAATATAAAATTATAAAAAAGGGTAATTGTTTGATATACTCGGATGAAAACAATGAAAAAATTGTTCAATGTTCAACATGTCAACAGCAAAATCTATGCAAGTGGCAGAGAAAAACATGTAGAGAAAGACTTTTTATGTAAGCTTTGTTATAGAATTAAAAGAAATGAAAACCAACAAAAAGAGACATATTATAATTTAGAATTACAGACTATAAAAATGAAAACTAAATCAAATAAAAAATTCCCTACGGCATTTGTTGGAAACACAGCAAAAGTGCCAATTTTAGATGTTGATCGAGGACGAGGAGAAACTTATAATGTTTTGGCATGTGCTTTAGGAGTTACAGAAGATGGATTTTATTGTTAAGGAAATAAATCAGGCACCTATTGTTTGATTATTCATTTCATAACATTTTTAACTTGTACCTAGGTAATTATTAATTTTTATTTTTCTTATTTTTTTTTGGTTTGATGTTCTAAAACAACTTTATGCCAGATCGCAATTTACAGTATGTCATCAAAACTTTCATCTCTAGAGGAAGTAGACCAAGAAAAAGAATTGGGCTTACGATCTATTGCCACTCAGGAAGCAACTGGATCTGGACAAGGCTTTATCAAATGTTCATGTTCAACAAAATGTCAAAATAACCGATGTAAGTGTTTAAAAAATAAAATTCATTGCAATTCAAAATGTCATCCTTATTTACAGTGCTGTAATAAATAAATAAATTTAACTAATTTTTATTAACCTAAACATATTAAAAATATTTATTTGTCTTAACAAAATTTAAAATAAATTTAAAAAAGTACAATGTATTTTTCCTTCTAGCTATGTTTTCAATAGATTATTTGTATTTTATAGAATAATATAATAGGTAATAATTATAATTAATTACTGTGTACTACCCATATAATTTATAGATTAATTTTCTTTTTCGTTTCATTTATATGCATTGTATTCTGTTATATTAAATTGATACTTTGTAATAAATATTTTTTGTTGTGCTAATAAAATTAATTGTCTTAATCATAATAAAAGGAAATTTATTTTTTTAGATTTTTCTTAGATATTTTCCCTGCTCAACAGATTTCCAATTTGTTGTTAGTCATTTTATGAAATACCTAATCATGATAAAAAATATTTAAAAAATGTATGCAAAAAAAAATATACTATACAATTTTTTATAAAACACCAGGTATTATATGTATAGAATTCCTATATTAAATATATTATACAAATTGCCACTAACATGTATACAGTATATAACACTTAGGTAGATACTTAGTACCTACTAAATACTTTTAATAAGAAATAAAAGTACCTAATTGATTATTAACTTTAAATATATATCCATTATTTTTGAGTGGAATTGTTTAAAAAAGTAATCCTAAACATGTTTAATTTAAATTAATAAACAAATTTTAATACTGTGAATACCTACAATAATAATATAATGTAAGGCACTAACGTACAGTAGCCAAGAATTGCATATCTCGACTCTCTTAAAGAATTGTTTTTAATAATAATGTTAATGTTATAGTTATAAAGGGCCCAAGGGCCAAAATTATTATGTGCCACCTCAGCATTTATTTATAACCAACAGGATGAGTGCTTCCGCTAGGATAGACTGTATTATTGTTTCTTTTTTAAAAGTATTTATCTACATAATATAGTTTCTACTGCCGTCAACTAGTAAATAAGAACGTAAATTCATATACATCTTACTATTCTTACTGGATTAATTATATGTGTATAGTCAATAATTAGAAATATAAATCAAGGAAGCTTAGGTAGCCGATAGGTTTAATTCATTTTTGCAAAAACATTGTATTTGCATATCAATTTTACTAAAATGATCAGTAATTTTGTTATATTAAACATTTTAGCTGTAAAATGTATAATCGGCTATCATGGAAATATATGTTAGAATCTTAATATTCGAGAGTTAATTGACCACAAATTATGTTTAAAATAATCGTAAAAAAAACTAAAATAAACTTAGATAAGAAACCTTAATTAAAAGTAATAGGTAACTAATAATATGCATAATATGAATATCTACATTATACATTTTGTAATTAGTAATTACGTATATAGACATATAGTACATTTGTATCTACTATATAATATGACTATATTATTAAAAATGTTTATTTTTTGAAGAAGTACTGTGGTATACGCACTTTTCGGTGATTTATCTCTATCAATAATTGAGTCATCAATAGACAATAGACTATAAATTAACCGGTTACCGGTTGGATTTCAAGGAGTTCGCCAGAATTGTGTAGCTACTCAAACAAGACATAATATAATTATTAATTATTGCGTTAGTTAGAAAACTTTTTTATAAAACATTAAATGGTAATTGCCAAAACAAAACACGCTTAGCCCGTACTAGGTACCTACGACCGTTGTTTCAGTGATGTACCTAATGATGTGAATTTTACGTAAACAATTTTTAGTGTACCTATTGAATTTTTCACAATATTATATAGATGGCAAAATAAATATAAATTACAGCATTGGTATTAAATCCCTTTATTAAAAATAACAATAAATAATTAATAATTATTGTAAGATATAAAATACATATATAAATAACTACATATAACTCAACTGTTTAAACGGTAAACAACATGTAAATTGTACATTTTTTTTTTATAAATTTTACTTAACCGATAAAGATTTAAACGGTAAACATACGAGACACATCACTACCTCACATACACACGATCGTCATACCTATGATCCAGGCTAATCACTCAGCGACAACCGCTTCCCTTGCCTACAGGTGCTATGATGTGAAAAAATTATTATCTCCACATCATATTAATTACCTTCGATGGCCTGACCTATCTTAACATTAAAATATTTCCACCTATTTTGCATATGTGTTAAATAATATAAGATTGATAACAACTTACAGTTTAAATTCTACAATTCGTTCATTTTTTTAAAGCTAGGTATTTTTTACAWAATAATTTTTAATTGCTACGTTAAATACCAACATTAATAACTAATTTT